CTCTCGAGGTAAGCTACAAGAATATGTAATAAAAAATGGGGAGTTCCATTTAAGAAAACATCGACCACATTGACCTCACCTTGAAAAGACCACTTAAGGTCAAATCCATATTTTTATCATGTGGCTCCCTCGAAACCATGCAACTTTTGTCTGAAACATTTTTTGATATCTCACTTCGTTTCCGAAAAATATGCCCGCGTCACTATAAATGCCGCACCCTGTATACACTCATGACAAGAATTTGAATACGGATATAGAAAGTAAATAGTGCGCCGCATAGCGGTAAGTGAATAAACTATACTATTATAATAAATTATATAAATGGCTAAAAGCTGCAAATTCTGCTCGGTTTCTGCTGCCAATTTGCCATCAGATTGCGCGCGCGCAGATCTTGCTCGGTTTCTGCCGACAATCTGACGTCAAGTCAAGTTAGCAGATCCTGCTCGATTTCTGCTACTAATCTGTCATCAAATTGCACGCGCGCAGATCCTGCTCGGTTTTTGCTATCAATCTGCCATCAGATTGCGCGCGCGCAGATCTTGCTCGGTTTTTGCAACCAATCTGACGTCAAGTCATGTTAGCAAATCTTGCTCGTTTTCTGCTATCAGATTCTATGAGCATACTCTGCTTTGTTTTTGGCACCAATCTGTCGATTTAATCTGAAATAACAACTTCTGTACTAAATTTGTATCCTTTTTGCTAACAATAATTGATAGCAGGCACTTGGCATGATTTGCTTTCGACAGACTTGGCTATCTGGGGACTATTTAATGAACTTGGACGTGGTCATGGAGGCATAGGTTTTCCTAGTATCGATGGCGCAATAGATTGTACACATATTCGTTTGGTACATACTAGACTTCAAAATGTTGACGAAATTTTTAGAAATAGAAAAGGATACTTTTCTTTGAATGTTCAGGTACATATATACTTATTTGAATAATTTAAGAAAATATTTCATACAAAAGATATATATTCAATAAAGCTAGCTTATCTCGCTTTTTTCTTTTTAGGTTGTTTTTGGACTACGTACAGAAATTCTAGATATCGTTCCAGAGTGGCCAAGAAGTGAACACGATAGCCGTATCTTTCAAAATTCTCGCATATATATGCGATACAGGCAAGGCGAACTAGATGGAATACTTGTGGGAGATGCTGGATATCCCGCATTGCCTTTTTTACTTACGCCGATTGGTAATCCTATAACGGATGAAGAAATAAGGTTCGACATGTATTTTATAACTACGATTTAAAATTTTTTATATAATTGTATTATATTTATGACACACATATTTTTTGTTTCAGTTTGTTTAGAAAAGGAATCATGCAGAATTTAAGTCGCGCGCCAGTCGTCTGCTATCGACTTTCGACTTGATTTTATACATTTTGGTCCTTCGAACCGGATATTTACGGTGAATGACATTAAAGATGAAGCTCAATCACATTACTAATCGAATAGAGCAGCAGTTCATACTGATGGACTTAATTGCTAACGCAGTTGATAACTTAACCAAGGTTGGGTTATCAAATATCACTTCTCATAGAGTAAATGCTCGCCTCACTTCTCTGAAAGAAAATTGGGAAAAATTCTCTCTTTCTCATAAAGCCATCAGCTTAGCAACTACTGAGTTGAATCCAGAGGAACAATCGCATTTAAAAAAATATTCCTATTTTTCAGAAAATCTATATTCCATGACACATGAATGTTACCTTGAGGCAGTCGAGAAAATGAGTATAATACTCGATTCTGAACAAAGGACTATGCATAAAACCGCCTCATCTCAATCTATTTCTCAGACGTCAAACTTTCCAACCTTTTATCAGCATGCTCGTTTACCACGAATCGACATACCTAAATTTAATGGCACACCTGCAGATTGGTTATCTTTCAAAGATTTATTCACCTCTCTGATTTCAGCTAATCCTACCTTGAGTTCAGTTGAGAAATTACAATATTTAAAAACTAGCCTTGTCGGATCTGCAGCTTATTTACTCAAAAATACGACGCTTACGGCAGACAATTTCCAAAAGACTTGGGAAGCCTTGATCTCATTTTATGAAAACAAACGGCTATTAGTAAACGCCGCTCTACATTCACTACTCTCTTTAAAACGCATGACGAAAGAGTCAGCTAGTGAGCTTGAACAACTTTATACCAACATCACGCAAATTTACCGAACATTGGAGACACTGCAACGACCTATTCATTTGTGGGATGACTTTCTTGTCTTCATTGCCGTTCAACGATTGGACTCAGAATCTGTTAAGGCATGGGAGCACCATTTAGGCTCATCCAAGGAACCTCCAACATGGAGCTAATTCACCGAGTTTCTATTCACTAGGTTGCATTCCCTTCAAGCTTTTGAAAAGTCTCGTGGTGGAAAACTTGTTTCACAATCACAACAGAATCCTTTGAAATCCCACTTCCAAGGAAAATCGAAGGAAAATAATTCAAATAGCTCTAGCTCGTGCTCAATTTGTTCAGCAAAACATTATACATCAAATTGCCCGCAATATACGTCACAAACCGTTCAGCAGCGATTGGCAATTATAACAAAGAATAAATTATGTTATAATTGCTTAGGACAACATCGAGTGTCAGCATGCCGTATACCGAAACGCTGTCACAAGTGTGGGCGCAAGCACCATACCACCATCCATCAAGCCAATTCTCAACCGTCTTGCTCGGAGTCTGGTTCTACAAAGTCGATTGAATCTACTGCGACAGCTTCTAAGACGACTGATACACACGTCTTACATTCGATATCTTCACAAAAGATTTTATCATGCGTTTTTTTGGCAATCGCTCAGGTAACTGTTGTGGCACAAAATGGAGAAATCTCCAGAGTTCGAGCCTTAATAGATCAAGGCTCTGAAATTTCCTTAATTTCGGAACGTCTGGTACAAAGACTTAAACTTCCTCGAAGAAAATCATCACTTCCATTAGTCGGTATAGGAGCACAAAAATCCAGCCAAACTCGAGGCATTACTTCTTTCAAACTCAGACCTTATGATGGAGATCTTGAACATTGTATCTCGGCTCACATACTACCAAAACTTACATTTTCAATTCCTTCTGTAAGAATTGAAAAAGCAGAATGGCCACACATTCAAGGATTAAAATTAGCCGATCCAAATTTTACAATACCTGGACCAATCGATATAATATTAGGAGCTGATGTATACGGCCAGATAATCGAAGAAGGTTGCAAAAGGAGAGATACAAACAAATTTAGTTTGTTCCAAAACTAAGGTAGCTCCCCTTAAAAGACTTACCATTCCACGTCTAGAACTCTCAGGAGCTGTATTGCTTTCAAAATTAGTATCTCACGTTTTACGAATCTTAGAACTTGACCATGTCCCTGTACATCTTTGGACCGATTCATCTATCACACAAACCTGGATAAACAATCATCCTTCGCGGTGGAAGGATTTCGTTCACAACCGAGTATGTTACATTCAAGAGACCGTACCACAAGCAATCTGGCATTTTGTACCAGGCCAAGAAAACCCCGCCGACTTCGCCACTAGAGGGTTAACGCCTGCTCAATTGTCTGACCTCTCGGTATGGTGGACGGGACCTCATTGGCTACGACAACATCCTTCAATGTGGCCGGAAGAGCCGCAAACAGTAAATTCCAAAGACAACCTTGAAGAACGACCAATCCAAGTAGTAACTATTACAGGCGATAGATCACTAAAGCCGTGGAATCTCCTTAATCGATACTCAAGCCTAAATCGATTATTACGCATCACTGCAATATGTCAGCAAGTAATCAATCGATTTCGAGGAACGCAAGATTCAAGTAGAACTAGACAAATAACTCCACAAGCTTTAGAAGCAGCAAAATTCTATTGGGTCAAAGCAGTCCAACAACATCATTTTCAACAGGAAATTGTAACGGTTCACCTTTCCCGTACGCCGCGGATCAAGGCTCGCCGGTGCCAGGATTCGGGAGAAGGGGGAAACTCCAACTAACTTTACCTCGGTATAAGCGGTTTAAATAATTAGATTTATTCAAAAAGATATTTAACACTGAAAGCTATGCGAAGCAACATGCGGGTACGGTGTGTACAGAGTTTTGCGCGGGAGCGGTTGTTATTCGCAAGGTGACGTGCAAGCACGGTGCGTACAGAGTTTCGCGCATGAGCTCGGGAAGCGAGCGTGGCTTAAGCGGCCGTGTTCTGCAGTCGCGGTGGTCGCATGCAAATAAGCTATGATTAATCCAAGGTACAGTACAGATCTTAAACACTACCGGGTGTCGCGTGGCCTTCGATGTAATTCCAACTGCCTGGCGGCCTTATCCTTAAAAGGACGGGGCGTCGGCGTTCTCGGCGTTCTATCCTTAAAAGGACTGACGCTCCTTAATAGTCTGAAGGCCGTGCGTAAAGGTGGAATCGGCGCGACACTTGGCGGGAATCCTAATGTCTAATTAACTCTACAGTCAGAATGCGCGGTATATACAGTGCGGGCTTACAATATGAGCAGGTCGCGGTATATACAAACGGTGCTAGAGTCTATCAGGACGCGGAGACCGGAGCGGTCTTACTGGTTACGGTATATGTACAACGGTCTCACGAACTAACGGGTCGCGGTATTTAGACGGAAAGATACACGGAGACCAAAGCGGTCTTACGGTGGAAACGGTCGCGGTATACACGAACGGTGCGCGGGGCGCGGTACGGTCTTACGAACTAGGAGTGCGCCGTCCCAGCAACCGGGAAGCCCGGCATAACCACGGGTAGCCCGTGACCTGGTGTAACGCTAGGTATCAGGGTGCGCCGTCCCAGCAACCGGGTAACCCGGCGTAACTACGGGTAGCCCGTAGCCTGGTGTAACGCGGTATAGGTTTCGGATCAGGAATTGTACTAGGTAGGACTCGGGATCGGGAACTGGTAATGCTATGCTCGCCGGAGCGCCTTATATACCGGCGGCCGGCCTCCCACTTGCGCGATTCAACGTGTGGTGGGGTGGTCCCTACGGTGGGGCCGCGACACGGGTGTGGGAGCTTAGGGACGCCATAAGCGCCGGGCCTAGAAAAGCGCGTGGTGGAACGGCCCGCTAGGCCGTTAGTAACGGTATCGTTACAAAATTAAGACTCTTTCTCAAAGACAATCACTACCTTTATCTAATCCACTCCTTCGGCTTACTCCTTTTACAGACTCCAATGGATTGTTGCGAATCGGAGGTCGTCTTCAATCCTTTCTTTTGCCATCAAGTGCCAAACATCCCTTGATCATCCCTAAGGAATCAGCATTAACCACCCTCATAATATCTGACGCACATCTACGTACGATGCACGGAGGCACGCAACTAACTCTCTCCTTCATAAGAAATGAATTCTGGATTATAGGAGGCCGAACCCCTGTGAGGTCACATATATTAAAGTGCGTGCGATGTGCTCGATACCGACAAAAGCGAGCACAACAGATCATGGGACAACTTCCAGTCGAGAAATTAACCCCATCTCGTCCATTTCTAAACTCTGGTGTTGACTATGCAGGACCTTTTACTATCAAGACTTGGAAAGGGAAGAACGCCCGAACCTATAAAGCGTATTTAGCTCTTTTCGTCTGTCACTCCACGTCAGCCGTCCACCTTGAGCTCGTTACAGATTATTCTACTGACGCATTCATGGCTGCATATAAACGATTCACCGCAAGACGAGGGATTTGCGCCACCTTAATGAGCGATTGCGGCACAAATTTCAAAGGCGCGAATATCGAACTACAAAATCTATTCGCCGCATCCTCAAACAAACTTGGAAGATTAGCAGCAATGTTAGCCACAGACGGAACTCAATGGAAGTTTATTCCACCTAGCGCTCCTCACTTCGGGGGAAAGTGGGAGGCAGGAATCAAATCTGTGAAATATCACCTCAAGCGAGTCCTTGGTGAGACCATTCTTACTTATGAAGAAATGACTACATTGTTGACTCAAATTGAAGCAGTTCTCAATTCGCGGCCTTTAACTCCCCTCACGGACGACCCAGAAGACTTAAATGCATTAACTCCGGGTCACTTCTTAATTGGAAGCACACTAGCTATCGTCCCAGAGCCATCACTTGAGATCGTTAAGAGCTCACGTCTCTCTAGATGGCAATTACTTCGTCAGATGTTAGATAGTTTTTGGTCACGGTGGTCTACCGAATACCTACAACGATATCTTGCCATTTACAAGTGGAGCCGACCTGCTCCATCACTCAAGGAAGGCGCTCTTGTTCTGGTTATCGATGAACGATATCCTCCTTCAAAATGGCCTCTGGGACGAGTTATTCAGACTCATCCCGGGAAAGATGGGCATACGAGAGTGGTCACTGTTCGCACCCAAACAACCTCTCTGAAACGACCAGTAGTAAAACTCTGTCCTCTCCCGATCCCAGTGGATACTCTCTAGCTCATTCGTTCGTTAACCCCCCCTGTTAACGAAGGCGGGCGGGAATGTTTAGAAAAGGAATCATGCAGAATTTAAGTCGCGCGCCAGTTGTCTGCTATCGACTTTCGATTTATTCATTGCGTTGTGAAGAGGTGTGATAGTGCTACGTATTTTTTGTTTATCTCTCTTCTCTTTTCCGGTTTCTTCCCCACTTGGTTTTTGTTTTTTAGCCATTACGTGAAAAAAATCAGTAAAGAGTCACGACGTTGACATCACGTGTTGAGTCATATAGTGAATTTTAATCTGACTATCTTAAGTTTCGGTTCTAGATTGGATATTTATAATTGTTCTTCCCTCTATGAAAAGGATGAATGAGATTTAACATTCCATTTTAAGTAATCCTGTTTAATAATTTAATTTATTTAATTCCAGATTTTTATTTTGTTTAAAATAAGCTAAGGTTATAAATAATATTTATTGTTCTAGTTTTTATTTCATTTTCAATTTTAATTTAGAATCGTTTATTATAACAATAAAAACAATTATCCTGCTTTCTTCTTTTTTGCTGTCATTCACCTTAATCTACTTCTCAATAAAATAAGACTTGATTTTATACACAGTTATAACACAATTCATGGAAGAACAAGAAGAATTGTCGAGAGGACATTTGGTATTTGGAAACGTAGATTTTCTTGTTTGTCAAAAGGGCTTACTACAAAATTGTTAACGTCTACATCAATCGTTGTGGCATATGCTGTTCTACATAATCTTTCATTAATTTTAAATGATAACTTAAAAGACGATGATGAAGAAATAGTAAATATAAATAATGAAGTCCCGGTGGCCGAACCTCACTGGCAGCCTGGAGATGGCATTCTCATACGAAATGCTCTTATCGAACGACTGTTCAGGTAAAATTTTTCTTATGATATATACAATATAAGATGTGCGTGTGTGTGTGTGTGTGTGTATAATTGGTTTAAAAAATATATTTTTATTTTAGATGAATAAGAAAATATTTGCAGATGACAAAGCTGAAGTTATACGGACAATGAATATTCAAGTACAGAAGAGACATGCAATGAGAGTGATATAGATCGTGAAAAATATATTAAAGAGTCCACAAGTTTTAAATATAGAAAAGAATGCATGAATGATAATGTAAGTGAAATAAAGAAGATACAATGATAATGATGAAGATAAAAGTAAAGAAGGAGAAGGAAAAGAAGAAATTTAGATGTACAAATATGAAGAATAGAAATAAATCTAATTTTAAATGGGATACACTTTTATTGTGTGTAAACATAAACTTTTATTTATACATAAACTGTTCGAACATAACATAAACTGTTATTTATACATAAATTGTTTGAAAATAACATAAATTGTTTAAACATAACATAAACTGTGAAAACATTAACTAATGTTTATACATAAACTGTTCGAACATAACATAAAGTGTGAAAACATAAAAACTGTTGTTAATACATAAACTTATATTAACTAAACTAAATGTATAAAAAAACTTACATAACTAAATAAAACTCAATATTATATATGTAATATAAATACTTTCTTATTTGATTGCTCTGAGTTGTGCTCTTTTTATTTCTATTTCCAAAGTTTGAATATCTTTTACGCGTTGCAACTCTAAACTGTTAATTTCTTTTAAATGATTTGCGTGTGTGTTAACATATAACACAAATATGTAATGAAATAAATATACCTTCCAATTCTATACTGCTCATGTTTGTACAATCTTCCTTGCCCGATTCTAATATTTCTACAGTTTGATTAGTAGATATCATTCCAAATATAAAATCTTGTTTATCTAAAACATATTATACAAGTAATAAGTTGCATTAATATTAAAAAAAGTTCAATATATAGGTCGGTATTCCTAGTCCGTTCTTAGAAATACTTTCCGTTCTACCCTTACGGAAAAAAACTTGTGGCACTATTGAAATGACAACTATTGAATAATTATTAATGCACACTACATCAATAGTAATTTCGCGCACTATTGGAATTCGCATTAGTAGTGTTACTTTCGTACTATTAGTGTTAAGTTGATCCTCAAGTGTGCGCACTAGTGGATCACTATAGTTTACTAATTGCCAATCTACAAGTTTTCATTGAAATTGAGACTAGTGTATTCTTTTTGAATAACAACGTGAATAAAAATAAGAACGATAAATATATTTCTATAGAAATAAAACAACACTGTGACATTAATTGTACTTTCATTCGCAAGATCAAGTACAAATAATAATACAATAATCTGACTAGTTGTATTGGTCCCGATTATTAAAAACACTGGAAACTAACCGTTATTCGACTTATTTACGACGCTTAATCTGCGTTCTTTGGGTTTTTCGCCTTTATATATGCTGGTTCCTTTAACTTTACTTGTTGGTTTCTCCTTTATTATTTGATCCTCTATTTCGAGGAACTGCATTATTGCACTTCTGCTGCACTGCTTTGCGGAACATCTTGTCGAAATCTTTTTCTATTGGAAATTTGTTCTTAACGTATGCTGAAAGCACATATATTTATTAGTTTTCGAACTGCCAACTATGCGAAATCAATACTCTGCATCGCACAAATTATAATCATATCTTTCATAGCTTCAATTTTCACCGTGTCGAGTTTCTTTTTAGCGGCTATACCTTTTTCGCGATGAAAATTTGCCACAGTTCCTGTAAGCGAGGAGGTAGCTAACTCTTCTTTTGAAAATAGCAAAGACATCATTTCGCATATCAACTTAGAGGCAGATGTGTGATTGCACAAGGAAAGACGAGTGGCGTTCACTACACAAGAGTCTGGTCCTCCAAGGTCGATTGTCTTTTCCTGTTAAATGTTTTATACAAAATATGATAAAACTTTTAGATAATTATTAAATGTAACGATATTCATATTTATAAAACTACATCGAATGAGAATTGAAAACCAAAGTAACATCATCCATATACTACATATACTACATATACTTGAAAATCGACACTCCAAAAATATTAATTTCTTTTGTAAATAGCATTTTAATTGAAATATGTAATGATTTTAACCTTATGTACTACGATTGATTGATGATCATCCGAGGACTTCACTTTATCAGCTGCATGATTCGATTCTTGTACATGTTCTAATTCATGTGTGTTGACTGTTTTTATCGCGACGTCTGGACTATCAGGGAAGTCTTTCGGTGATGATTCTAGGTTGTAATTTGGTAGTACTACCAGATTATGCTCGGATATCAAAGGTATCGACTCACGTGATGGTGCTGGTTCACGAAACTCTGTAGCTGATCTTTGAAACGATTTCAACTTATCGCTTGGTAGATCTAACTCCTTATTTTGTACTATCGATACAGGCGATGCATCGGCTGTAGACGATTTCAACTTATTGTTTGGTAGATCCATCTTGCTGATCCAGATCGGATCAGAATTTAGTGTCATTGCTGGAGGAATGTAATCTCGCTCACGTTCAATGATGCAGTTACTTATTGCTTGTACTTTCTACAAAACAAATGAACACAATTAGCACATCGTTTCATACTATTTACAAATATACGATGTAATGCAAATGTAAGTCAAAATTACATATACCTGTTGTAGTTGATCTAGCTGATGATTGAAAGACTCGGTTTTCCATGATGCAGATTGCAAATTGACCGTGAGATCTTTCATCATTTTATCTATCTTTGACAAATCTAAAAAATAAATAACGGTGATTACTGAGGATCTTATTAAGAGAGTTGAGTCACTCAGAATTAACAAATTATTGTTTTAAGTGCTTTTATTGCTTAAGGATATATGTATCGAAAAAGCATAAAAAAATGTATTTGTGAAGGAATGATTACTCATTAGAGTGCAACACGTTTAAAAATCTACCTATTAATTTTGTGAATTGCAGGCATTGAAATAAAGTAATTCGATAATAGTAGTGTATCTAGGAGAGTTCTAACCCAGGTCCTCTGAGGGGGGGGGGGCAAGGGGAAATCAGCG